TAAAATGCCATTGCAGAATGCCATTGCAGAATGCCATTGCAGAATGCCATTGCAGAATGCCATTGCAGAACCCTGCAGAGCCCTGCAGAACCCGACTGCAGAACGCAATTGCAGAACACGATTGCAGAACGCGACTGCAGAACGCGACTGCAGAAGCCTGCAGAATCCTATTGCAGAACCCGATTGCAGAACGCCATTGCAGAATACAGAAAAGGTACAATTCGGATATGTTGTGCGGAACAGGCATGCCTAAGGTTCCACCCAAGCTATATCTCATGTGACCTCGCCTAGTAGCGCCCTTGGCGCACTGGAGCTCTTAGGTACATATTTATAGATCCTGACGAGCTTCCTAGATAGAATATACCAAACTTCATTCAATCTGCAAAATCTCCTCCTGATCCTAGTGCCAGTCAGTATTACAGGATAGGCATAGATTACGATTGCAAATTACGATTGCAGAACGCGATTGCAGAACCCTGTAGCAAAACCCTGCAGAACGCGATTGCAGAACGCGACTGCAGAACGCGACTGCAGAACCCTGCAGAACCTACTAGCAGAACCCGACTGCAGAACGCTATTGCAGAATACAGAAAGGTACAATTCGGATAGGCATAGATTACGATTGCAAATTACGATTGCAAAACGCGACTGCAGAACGCGACTGCAGAACCCGACTGCAGAATACAGAAAAGATAGAATCCGGGTAGGTATAGATTACGATTGCAAATTACGAGTGCAAAACGCGAATGCAGATTGCGAAAGAGGATGCGGGTGCAGACCATAAACGATAGTGCAGAATGCGGATGAGTATGCAGAATAAACCATCTGCTCAAATTTCTATCCACCTTTGCCCTAATCATAGCTCGCATCTTATATCCAGCCACCGATGCTAGCTTAAATCGCCTCAGGTGCCCACTTGACCGCGACGTATCCAGCCTTCTGCGCAACATCTTCCTGATCCTGATTGCTCTTGATAAGTATACATCTTGTGTTGTTTCCCTTCGCGCAAGTCTCGCCACATGCGAAATGCCGATCCTCTTCGCCCTTCGTTCGTGTCACTGTGTATAGACACACCCATTTGCCTTGCAACGCCGGCGCCCGCATCCTCTCCTCCATCTCCGAGTAATTCTCCGCGCCTGCAGCCATAACCGTAACGGCGAGAAACAGGCTGGAAATATCCTCATCAGCCACGGACCGGTCGGGTCTGAAACAAACAAGTTCTGCAGCGAAAGTGTAGACGCTGGTCTGCCACTGGCTGGCCTTTTGATCCTCCTTCGCGTCGTCGCGCTCTATCGTCAACTGCTTGATGAGTTCGTCCTTTTGAACGACCTCGGATCTTAGGCGCGCGAAATTCTGGAAGGCGAGTCCTAACTCTTGGTGCTGGCGCGGAAACAGGTCAGCGTGCAAAGCTTGAAGATAGTTAAGGGCGGATCCATCTACTATTTCGTCGGTTTTCTGAACCAGTGCATCGACCTCCGGATCGCCCGTCGGGCTCGCCATCCTTTGAATCTGGGGCTAAGCAGCCGGCGGGGTTGTAGAAAAAGGGGCGACGGTGGTGATGGACCTTCGTAATTGTAAAGGTGTAAATGCGAAAATTTCTGACTGCGATAGAAGAGTTGGAATGGAGAGGTTAAGATGGAGAAACCGGAACGGAGAATCGAAGACGGAGAATCGAGTAAAACGGGTAAAGAAATGAAGCAAAAAGTAGGAACAAAGATTCACTAAAGAAGGAAGGAGAAGAAACGTAGAAGTGGAAGGAGCGAAGGTCGAAGGTGAAAATGTCCTGGCTGGCAAAATAGAAAAGAAGGGACAAGGACGGGCTTTGAGTGATAGGAGATAGGAGGATTAAGAAAAAGGTGCGAAGATTGAGATCATGGAGAAATGTAAGCGGTACGAAGAAATCTCCGCCTTCATGTAGCTATGAAGGAAGGAAGGGCCGCCTGCTTCCGATCTCTCGTCTCTGTCTCTCTGTCTTTACCTATTCTCTTCGTAACACCAACACTTTCACCATCTCTCGCGATCCCAACTCTCCGCGCGCACAATTCTACCGCCACCGCTATAGCATTCAACGACGGGATTCAGCGGCGGGATTCAGCGACGGGATTCAGCGACGGGATTCAGCGACGGCGACGAGGACGAAGACGAGGACGGGGACGAGGACGGGGACGGGGACGAGGACGGTGACGGGGGCGGCGACGACGTCCTGTTATCCTTTGGAAACCTGCTGCTAGAGATCCGTATTCCCACGACTGTCCCATCATTCTCCTGCGATAGCCTCTCGATATCCAATAAAGACGACCAGACGACCAGACGACCAAACGAACTTCTATCCCGACTCTTGCCACAGCTCTGCTCATCCGCAGATTCTTCAATTCAGTTTATCGCCGTCTGCGCGCGCGAGAACTCAATCTATACAAACCGTCCCCGATAACAAGCGACTTTCTACGAGATCGCGGCCCAAATGGGAGGGTTTTCCTGGGTCTATTTCCAGTCCTTCACCGGCCTCGACGATGAAGAGTATGCTACCGTCAAGGAAAAGATGAAGGTGCTATACAACCTTTACGTAGCACCATACGAGGATCGCCACTTCAATAGCAAGAAAGTCGGCGTGCCGTTGAAGCAAGAGTTTACGCAGAAGACGCTCAGCTGCATCCAAGAAGCTCGAGGAGCCGGAGATCTCACGAAAGAAGAGATCCAGACTTTGACTAGGCATATCGGCATGTATGCTAGTAAGATGAAGGCGGCACATAAGGTCCAAGCGGTATCCAAGGTCCAGGATCAAAAGTGGTCCGGTAAGCTTTTATGCTTGAGTACGACTCGGGAAGGGATTCTTTCTGACGCATCTATAGTTCTTAAGGAAATGAAAGGACAAGAGATGAGAGCTAAAGAGGCAGGTCTCGAGACAGATCTCGAGACAGAGGGAGAGGGGGTGGAGGAGGAAGAGACAGAGCCCGACACAGAGCCCGATACAGAACCCGATACAGAGCTCGAGAAAATGATCACCTCGCCCGTTCGACGGCCAACGGAAGTGACAAGACAAGCCAACAAAAAGCACAAGACTCGCAAGAGGGTGGTGGTAGAACAAGCCGACAAAAAGCACAAGACACACAAGAGGGTGGTGGTAGAGCGAGCCAACAAAAAACAGAAGATGGTCGGTAATAAAAATACAGGTACAGATCCAAGTGACTTGATGCCCTCGTCTCCACGATGTTCGTATTGCAGCATCATATGACAAAGCAGCTAACTCTTGCAGGGACAAACTCGGAGACGACAATAGATATCAACGAGGAATTCATGATCCAGTCTCCAAATACAATCCAACGTCGGTACTCGCGGCTTGGGCGAGACACGACGCCTATCGAAATCCCTTTCTCGAAGGTACCCTCCTTTACCGATACCGAACTATCGAGTCCAGCTCAGTATACACCGAGTCTTCGACCGCGAACAACTATTGAGCCTCCTGCGGTTCTTTTATCAAACGAAACCCCTTCTACTAGCGCCCAAGCCACAATTCTTTCTTCACAGCAGCTTGTTCATGCTCATCCGCCGCTTTTGTATAAAGCAGCATCTTTTGCCAGTACCAAAGCATCAGGTCTTTTGTCGCAGCAGCCTGTTCACACTAATGCGGCTCTTTTGCATCACCGAGCAGCACCTTCTGCCAGGACCCAAGCAGCAAGTGTTTCTTCGCAACAGCTTCTTCATACTGATACGGCTCGTTTGCATCAGGCTGCAGCTTCTACCAAGACCCAAGCAGCAAGCATTCCTTCGCAACAGCATGTTTCCGATGACACGACTATGATGCATAAAACGGTACTTTCTACCCGGATCCAAGCAGCAAGTGTTCCTTCGCAACAGCATGGTTCCGATGATATAACTATGATGCATAAGACGGCACCTTCTGCCACCACTCAAGCAACAAATCCTCATCGACAGGATCCGGTTCCTCTTCTGCAAACCTCTTTCCCTACTCGCACAACACATTCCCGAGGCTCATCTATTTTAGATGTCGGCCGTCGTAAAACAGCTCTTTCAACGAATACTGTTTTGCGAAACAAAATGCCGGCCAAATCTCTATTCACCAACACGTCGGATCCCAAGGTACAGGCTAAGGATACTTCGGTCCAAGACATTCATGCGGCTGCTTCAGAGAAGCCCATATCTGGGGCCGCATTCGATCCGAAAACTTCTCTACTTGCCGGGGGCCTGCGGAGGAGCCATCAAGGAGTCAGCGATTCTCTTTGGGGGGCGAAAGGACGCGAGTCAAGTACTGACTAGTATTGATAAACCGTGCTTTGCGTGCAACAGAAGAGGCTTGAAGAGAGGTAGCTTGGCTAAGTGTTAAAGCAAGTAGCAAATATCCATGTAGCAATATTACGGAGGTTCAAATGAAGGTGTCTGCTTCGGGTCACTTCTATCGATTTGCACTTGGTTGTATCTGAGGCACATCAAGCTCGCCAACGCCCCTTTAGCTAAGCGAGGAATTGATCAACCCGTGCTATCCTTGACGCCCTGTTTTTAATTCCCAGGAGGGGTATATTAGCTGTAATGCGGCGACGCTACGGAACGGCCCGTTTGCCATCGAAATGTATTGTTTGTTGCACGTCGCAGTTTTCGAGAAACCGGGTCGCTGGAACCAGATGACGGCGAAGCTGAGGATCTGTTGCACGTCGCAATTCTTTCTCTTTTTTAGCAGCGCCAGAATATCCACATTGGACCGAGAGTCCAGTTTGTTGCACGTCGTGATTCTCTTACGCCACGCTCGTTACGGATGGTTCCCCCCCGCTTGAAACTCTGTTGCACGTCGCAGTTGGAGCAATGTAGAGAACTACTACTAGTTGTAGTTGTATACTCGTTCGTGCGTGCGGCCAGCATATCTCTATCCATGCCGCAGATCCTCTTACACTAAAAGCGTTGGGGCTGGGCCGCTGCTTGCTTGGTGGGCCGCACATGGAGTATTGCTAAATTTCGGATAACATGGATGATCTACGGCATAGAGATAGACAGATATGCTGGCCGCACGAGTCCCTGATCTCGTAATCGCAGGCATACAATCAAGCCTTACTAATGTTGATCAACAGGCTAGAATAATGCAAGAAGCAATAGATCTATGCGCTCATCAGCCATAACATGAGTTCCTTCCTCTTCATCATCCTCATCGCACTTTGCCCACAGCCCAACCCGAACCTTCCCTCGGCCCGAGCCGGGCTGAATTGCCAGTAATTCCTTTATATACCTGCACGCTGGTCATCGTTCCATCGAGATGGCACATATGGCTCAGTGGTTACATACCGGGAGTTAGTACTGTCCGAGGATTAGAATATCCAGCCTGATAAATCCCATCGGGAAAAGCCTCTCTACTAAGATTTGGTTAAATAGAACCCACCATATCATAGGGGGGTGCTTGAACGTAAGTGTTTTTTGTCTTTCCTTTTCCCTTAATTTTTTTCTTTTTTGCTTGCTTGAGAATAAACAAACATCAGAACAAAATTGTCGCTTCTTACAATCTAAACTATTGCTTCATGCACTTCAAAGTCTAATCTACCACCGACGAGATTATAGCATTCAACAAGTCAACATCTGGCAAGCCATTTCCCTTTTATAATCTTTGCTATTGCTTCATGCACTTCAAAGTCTAGTCCTCCATCGACGAGACTACGGCTTCCAACAAGTCAACATCTGGCAAGCCATTTTTTCCCTTTTACAATCTGTGCTATTGCTTCATGCACTTCAAAGTCTAGTCCTCCATCGACGAGACTACGGCATCCAACAAGTCAACATCTGTCAAGTCATCTCAGTTTTTCATGTCAATCCCGTCAAGAACCCCGATTAAAGTATCCGATAAAAAGGATATCAGCGAGTCGGACGCTGGGTATATCACAACATTCCATTTGGACATTGCATTAGGACATTGCACTCGGACTAAATATACTTACTGTATTAAGAGATAAAGAAGAAAGGCGGGAAAATGAGGAGAGTAACGGAGGAACAGAAGCGCAAAGACCTTAAGGAAGCCAGAGAGCCAGAGAGCCAGAAAGCCAGAGAGCCAGAGAGCCAGAGAGCCAGAGAGCCAGAGAGCCAGAGAGCCAGAGAGCCAGAGAGCCAGAGAGCCAGAGGGCTTGAACATCAAAAAGAATATTCGAGATTGGCGAAAAAACTCTGCGCCAGCCCTCATAGCTGCACCAACTGTCGCTGAAAATTAAAGGACGGCTGGAGGGCCAGGGCCAGAGGGCCAGAGGACGAGGGCCCAGAGGAAGCCAGCGGCCAGATAGCCAGCAGGCCACATAACCAGCAGGCCAGGAAGATAAAAAGAAGGATACAAAAGGATACAGAAAGAGAAGTATAAAGCAATACAGATGCACTCATCTATGTGTCGGCTGCCTGCGCCGCTACATTAATGCAGACCTATTCGCTTAAAGCCGTCGGAGAGAAGAAAGCCTTGGATACTCTGCAATATATATTGCAACTTCCGCAGCGGTCGAATCATATGCAGAAAAGGCGACTCAGCTGAGACTTGGTTGCAATGGGAAGAAAATGAGTAGTATACTATATGAGACGTTTTCTTGGAGAAGTGCTGCAAGGGCCCAAATTCCCAATCGATAGCAGCACGGCTGTAACACCTTGACAGGCTTCTACGGCCTTCTTCTATGTAACTCTATAGCTTGGCACGTCGCTGTACCTTATAGAAGGCCCTAGCGGCAGATTCCATCTGCCATCCATGATCCGCCCGACGTAAATAAATACAATGATAACAACAGGTAGTGATACAAGCGTGTCTCGGGACCGTAATCTGGCCGTTAAAGGAGCTTATAACGAAAATTTGTCTGTAGCTGCTAGTGTCTCGCGGGGATCCGCTTTGGTAGTTGATGGAGCTTTTGAAACCGGCGAGAAAAAATTTTCAGCTACGGATGTATCTCGTGCAATCGATAGAGCCTTCGATGGCTCAATCGGGAAATCTTTTTCAATATATATTGCTGATATTATAATAAGAAAGATAATAAAAAGGAATGCGGAACCTTTAATTGCTCACAGAATGCTCTGTGCGCGTACAGAATGCAAGTGTAAAAATATAAGTGCAGAGTGCAAGTATAGAATGAAAGAGTGCAAGTGCAGAATCCTAGATTGCGGAATCCTAGAGTGCAGCCTTATAATGCAGAATCTCGGGTATAATGTTTCGGATACACGTACGAAAGTATCGAGTATCAGTTCCTTATTTATGAACTGACTGTCAGGACATTGGTATGACGCTTGTAATGCATGGCTCTGTTTAGGCCATTCCCTTTGGCCTCGCTTATGCGATTGGACCTGATTCACATGTATTTAAGAGCACCCACTTCTTCATCACACGACCTCATCACAAGTTATGGGAAATATTTCTAATTATATAGATAGCTACGTATATCATTAGCTAGAGAAGAATTAAGAATCATGCATATGACTCAATATTAAAAGAAAAGCTATTTTATAATACTTTATACCTCAAAAGATACGCCGGAGCCGAGTTTTTTGAATCACGGGTGCAGAATCTCGAGTGCAGAGTCTCGTATCCATAATCTAAAGCTCCTATAAATCTGCTAATAATTGCCGCTCTCTCTAGATTTATTTTATATGCCTTTCTTCTTCTGCAGCGTATACACCGAGTACAGACTTTAAGGGTTTAATACATGCTATGTGCTGGACACACCCAGACTTTACACTGCATACAGTTCACGCGTATCGTCGACGATCATTTGGACTTTGCCGGCCCCATCGAGCGGCGACAGCTAGTTTTAAGCTGCAAAGGATGAGTAGTGCGATACTGCGATGTAATTCTTTAAAGAGTTTTCCACGGTCAAAGAGCGAGTGCAGAATGCAGAGTCTATATGATACAAAAACTTAGAGGATAAAATTCTAAGTGCAAAGTCTTCAGTGGAGGTTATATACAAGCTAATCTAAAAATACACATACAGATAAGCGAAATCCTTTCGTTTATCTTGGGGTGTGTATACAAAAAGGTTAAACATAATCTATAAAAACATGGGTAATAAAGTAGAAAAGAAAGGAGTTTTTTTTTTCGATAAGTTGAGTTCTAATACTAAAAAATCGGTCTAAGCAACGCTATTGATTTCTTTCCTTCCTTCTTCCTCTCCAGCTATAACACTATTATAAAGCTCCAATTCCTTTTACAAACCAGAAAAAAGAAAAAGAAAAAGACTAATTAAGAATAAGCCATTTTATAAGAGCTTGCTCTTCCAAACATTTTAAAGTAAGTCTCTCCAATCGTGTCGCCACTTCCCATTCTCTTTCGGTATGATATTCATCATCTAAGCAATTGATTGCCTCTAGAAGGGCTTCAAATGCTTTCATTTTAGACTCCCACCCCCAGAGACGAAGTCCGAGTCTATCCAAAATTTCGATCCTCTGATCGATCCGGGATTGGTTTGGTGGAGTCGCTAGCCCCCCGCTCAGTAATGATGATGGAGACGGCTCTCCGCTGGCAGGTGATGATGACGACGGCTCTGGTGTTTGCGCTAGTGCTGGTTCGGGTGTTGGTGCCGGCGCTGGTGATGGGGCTGGTGATGGGGCTGGTGATGGGGCTGGTGATGAGGCTGGTGATGGGGCTGGTGATGGCGCTGGTGATGGGGCTGGTGATGGCGCTGGTGATGGCGCTGGTGATGGCGCAGACGGTGGCGACGGTGGCGGCAGTGATGGTGACGATACGGGCAGCCGGGGTGCCAGCCGGAACCTGGCATCAATTAATCAGCATGATCATTAGCCAGCCAAGGGAGTCAAGGCGGTCAAGGCAGTCAAAGCAATCAGGGAAGTAGAGAGGGAAAGACATGATATGGATAGAGACTTACGGTACCGGCCCCCCAAACTGGGGATCTCCTCTTCTCAGCTTAGTCTTTCTGCTGGGCAGCGCGTATGAGACCGGGGTTCTGGTTCGAAGGTTCCGCGTTGGAGTGGAAGGAGTCATGATGGTGGTGTAGTGGTGTGGTGGTGTGGTGTGGTGTGGTGATGGAGTGATGGCGGTGTTGTGATGAGGGTGGTGGTGCTTAGTAGATTGAAAGCTTGGGAGAACAGAGGTTGTAGATGTCCGGTGCGACAGCTTTATACCTGTGGATGGATGGTTGATCTAGGACGAATGGGTAGTTGCGAATGGCTTATCCAGCCACTCGCTGGAGGATCAACGATAGCCAGCGACGATGGGCACAACCAGCTACGACAGATCACTTTGATGGCCAGCTGTGATGGAATACGCTGAAAGCCAGCGAGGATGGACATGAGCAGCAACGATGGAATACGCTGAAAGCCAGCGAGGATGGACATGAGCAACAACGATGGAATACACTGAAAGCCAGCGAGGATGGACATGAGCAGCAACGATGGAATACACTGATAGCCAGCGAGGATGGACATGAGCAGCAACGATGGAATACGCTCATAGCCAGCGAGATAAACATGAGCAATAACGATAGAATACGCTGATGGCTAGCGAAAATAAAGATGGCCAGCAACGATGGACTGTTTTGATTCTAAGCGAAGATGAAAATGGCCAGTAACGATAAGTGTTTTGATAATAAGCGAGGATAAATATAGCCAGTAGCGATGGACTGCTTGAATAATGAACGAAAGTGAATATGCCTAGCAATGATAAATTACTCTGATAGCTGTCGAGAAAGGTTGTAGTTAGTAACGATGGATTGTTTGAATAATTATCACTCACGATGATCAAACAATTTTTATCCTTGAAAGTAGAGTGGTGATAGTAGTAGTGGTAATGATAGGACAACCAATCATGTGACGAGATTTTTTTTCAAAGCTCCCGGCAGCTTAGTCACAGTGCCAAGAGATTAGATGACTTGATCCCTCGGATAAATTACTCGGGCCGTTTAACTCACCAAAGATCGCGTCGGCGCCCTAGCTATGCGTCAACCTCGCGCTACAGCTTTCGGATGAATGCTAAAGAAACAGCTGGATGCATCACGACTAAGGAGGAAAAAGGCGCGGAAAGAATATCAGACACACAGCCAGGCGCATCGCAATCAAGAGGGAAGCAGTTCGCAGAGAATGCCAAGGACGCAGCGAGACTCATCACCAGGGACATAGCTAAAGGCATACCAAAGACACCAGGGACACAGCTGGAAGCATCATCGTTAGAGAGAGATACAGCTGGGCGATTCATCAAGGAGATCAGGGACTTTAGGCACAACAAGGACAGGTGAGATAGTAAGGACAGCTAAGCGTATCACCAAAGATACAAAGGATACTAGTGACATAAAGGACACCAAGGACACCAAGAACACCAAGGACACCAAGGGCACAAGGGGCAGCAAGGACAGCAAGGATATCAAGGACAGTAAGAAGAGCAAGGATAGCAGGTATACTAGAGATACCAAGGACACCAAGGATAGTAAAGGCAGCTGAGCACATTAATAAGGACATCAAGGACACGAAGGACACCGAGGACAACAAGGATAGTAAGGACAGCAGAGACACCAAGGACATCAGGCATACAGCTGGACGTATTAATATTAGGAAGACACATCTAAGTGACCAAGGACACCAAGGACAGTAAAGGCAGCTGGGCATATTAATAAGGACATCAAGGACATTAAGGACATTAAGGACATTAAGGACATCAAGGACACGAAGGACACGAAGGACACCGAAGACAATAAGGACAGCAAGGACAGCAGAGACACCAAGGACACCAGGCATACAGCTGGACGTATCAATGTTAGGAAGACACATCTAGGTGTATTACTAAGGACACCAGGGACACTATGGGTACGGAGAGAATGCTAGGGATACAGCTGGACGCATCGCATTTGGGAGGGGATGCAGTACGAAAAGAATGCCAAGAACAAATCTAGGGGTATTACCAAGGACACCAGGGACACCATGGGTACGGAGAGAATGCTAAGGACATAACTGGCATTATCGTTGGGAAGGGAAGCAGTTCGATAAAAATGCTAAGGACCAGCTCGGCGCATTACCAGTGACATTAGGGACACAGCAGGGACACAGCTAGAAACATCATCGTTTGAGAGGGAAGCAGTACGCAGAGAACACTAGGGATACAGCTGAGCGCAGCACCAAGGGCACCAGAGACACAGCTGGAGGCATCAACGTTGGAGAAGGAAGCAGCGCGAAGAAAATTCAAGGGACACAGCTAGAAGCATTATAGTTGGAGGGGGAGCAGTATAGATAAAATGTCAAGGATATTGCTAGACGTGTGACGAATTGAGTATACATTCCACCTTGGAATACAAGTGAAGTGAGAAGAAAAGAAGCAGGAAGCTCGGGAGAGCACAAAGGATATACATACATAGACACAAGCGCTAGGCTTAAATGAGTGAGCAGCTGACTGCAAGCAACATGGCAGGCTGTCATACTGCCCCCTTAGAGAGCTCTCCAAGCTCTCTCACAAGTACCCAAGTAGAATAAGGAAAAGAAAAAACAGTTTCCAACTACAATTGATCGATCGACTGGTAAGCAAAGCTAACGAATGAACGAACAGGGAAACAAACAACAAGACCACCAAACCAATCTCGAACTAGCAACAATGATACTAGACCAAGCTTCAAGTCTTGAATGGATGATAAACGGAACCGAATATAGGAGTTAGCTTACCGACATGTGTTACGCTCGAGAGCACGAGGTAAGGTCGGTAGCGAAACAATAGCTACAAAGTGGGAGCATCTAGGAGAGAGACTTGATAGATAGCTAAGCGAGAGCTAGGGATCTGGCAGATGCGTCCGAAAGTGTCTGGGTGTATTATCGGCAGCGCCAAAGATTGAATAAAGCTGATCGATGAAGCTCGAGAGAACAGAAAAAATGGGACGGAAACGTTGACCGTATCTGACAGCGGGCTGAGCGAGAGCCGAGGATCTAGCGATGGAAGATTAGCTGTGATCGGTGAAAGTCGGAAAGGCCGGCAACCGCGCTAAAGGGATCAGGCGAACCGAAGAGATCAATAAAAGACCGAGAAAACATCAAGGGGAAAGAAGATTGAGGGGATCGAGGGAACCAACGGAAGATAAGCGAGCCGGAAATCAAAGAGATCGAGAGAAGCTGACTCACTTCTGTCAATGCGGCGTATTCTGACAGGGCTAAAAGAGCTGGGCGTGCAAGATGTCAAAGCCGATATAGGCGGCGGTGCCGAAGGTGACGGAGAAGCTAAAAAATCCCGACAAGATCTTAGAAATGGATCTGAAGTAGCACAGCGGTCGATAGCTTGAGCCGATTATCGGTAGCGAGCGAGATTACTGAAAGTTGAAGATTGAAGTTCCAAATTATTGATTCATTGCTAAGAGGAAGATCGCCGGAGGAAACTCATAGCGAGAGGAATGGAATGGCGGTCCGAGAGAAGGAACAAAGGAGTGGATATTCGGACTGATTAAATAAGCTTAAGAATAAGGGATACGGTTAGTGCTGTAAGTCGGAAGCATCGGGAAAAGTAAAGAAGCTCTGACAGATTCTTTCAGGAAGAGCTTGGCGTATATCGTGCTGACTGATAACACAGCGTATACAAGTATAGGCCGTATTTAATATAATGTTAAGCTAAATGTAGATCTTGGCTAAGATTATAAACTGTTAAAAATGCGGTCACTTGATCTGCGGCCGTAACGTTGATTAGGTGCATCTATTTAAACTAAAGCTATCGAGGAATACGAAAAACTTAATCAAGCGCTTACTAAAGCAGAAAAGGAAGTTTTGTACGGAAAAAAAGGTTTTGCGAGTGTAACGAGCTAGATTTTTAAGAATTTCAATTAAAAATTCTTTTACGGTCAATTAATCGATTATATGTGACGACCTTAAGCGATTACTTAAAAGAACTTACGGGAGCGCGGAGGTTTATATAAGAGCTTAAGAGAATCTTAAAGTAATGACTTAGAATTAATAACTACCGAGTATAAAGGTCGAAAGTAGCTAAGGTTTATATACACGAAGGTAAAAGCGTTAAAGACTCGTGAACTATAGTTTATAAGTCAAAAGCGAAAAATAAAAGAATACGAAGAATACGAAAGAAAAAAAGAAAGAAGTAGCTTAGCGTATATAAAGTGCGTTTAAAAGACTTAACGTATCGTTACATTACCTTTCCGTCCGAAAAAAGCTCGTCTTCGAGCGTTTATTTATTGCTTTATTACTGTTCAAATGATCGTAGTTATTAATACCGTTTAAATAAGCTTTAATCCATTCGAAAAGCTTCGCGAAAAGGCCGAAGAGCTTTTTGTATTTCAAGTGAAAGTCACGTACTTTAAAAAGAGCGTATATAAAGTCGAAAGCGAAGTACTAAATAAAGTTAATATCGCGGCCGAGTTAAAAAGCGCGGTATTTAAAGTGCTTTTTAATTTAGCGTATAATTAAAATGTTTTTTATTTCGTACTTAAGTTCGTTAGTAATATTAATCGAGTTAAGTTTAAAAATAATTTGCTCGAAAGTAAAGTTATTAAGAGTTTTTCGTAGCCGTCCGAAGTAAAAGATTAAGTGAACCTTTATTAACTTAAAGAGCTTAAGTTTAAAGCTGTTATAAACGTTGTCGATAACCTCGAACGGTTTGTTCGTAAAGTTATCGAGCTTCTTTAACGGTCGAAAAATAAAGAACGAGCGCATATTTAATTAAATCTTATTATTAACGTCGAAGTCAATCGAACGCTTTAATTTATTAGCTTATTTAATTATGCGGTCTTAAGCGCGCTAAAAGTGCTTTTTAACGAGGTTTTAAACTTCGAAGTAGCGGTTAGCGTAAGCGCGAGTTTCGTCTTAATTAAGCTTGCGAAAAAAAGTTTAATCGTTAAATCGTTTTAAGCTTTAATTTTAAGTGGTCTGAAAAGCGTAGCCGTAAATTACTTCGAAAAAAGAAAAGCCGCCGAAAAACTCGTAAGAAAGCGTTAATTAAACGAAGTTTATAATAAAAAAGAACTCGCTTTAATCGTCTTAATAATAGCTTACGAAAAGACGAAAGCGCTTTTGCAAGTATTAATTGTAAATTTCGATTTAACCGTTAGTCTTAAAGTGTACGACGATGCTAAAAGTCAGTTTAATGCCGAAGATCTTATTAAATTCTTTTTAAAACTCGAACTAATATTAAAATCTTTTATTAAAAGTCAATATTAAAAAAGCTTTAAAATACTTATAAATGTGATAGATATAAAGCTTAGCGAAGCTTTTAACGTCGATAGACTTATAATAAAAGATCGAGATTGCTTGCTTAAAAAAGCGGTCGATTATTATAAAGACGTTGTCGTAGCCGTATTTGTTTTTATTAAAGCTATAAAAATCTATAATAACGTGCTTTTAAAAGCGCGAAAGAATCGAAAGAGATTAAAGCAAACTAAGTTTTTTATCGCGAAGTATTAAAGCTCGTTTATAAGCGTAGCAATTGCGGCAATACTAATTAACGAATTTAATTATGCCGTATTAATAATATTATACTGCAAAGAGCTTATAAGTTTTGCGAGAATTAAAGTATGCTGTAAATACTTGGTGGTAAACTTTTCGGACGAATAACGAGCGCAAGTTTTAAACGTTAAGAATTAATAAGCGGCCGTTATAAAACAGCAAGTCGCTTTTTATAATAAGTTTAGCTCGTAAATCGTAGTTTACGAATAAAGACTCAGCTTTAAAAGCTTGAATTCGAAGTGTTATAAAATTAAAAGCGATCCGATTAGCTTTTAAAACTTAATTAATAACTCGGAATATCGATAAGAGCTTTGCGATTTCTTCGATAATAACGGCGGTCTTCGAAAGCGTAAGCTAGCGTAGTTCTTTATTTAAAAGTCGTAAGTTAACGTTATCGGCGCAAAGCAGCGTTTGCAAGCGTTAAATGCTCTTAAAGCTGTGACGACACGCCAGGTCTCCTGGACGCACCTCACATGCGCCAAGCTACTTCCTTCCTTTTTCTTTCGTATTCTCTCATTCCCCGCTTTTTGACCCATGAACCATAGTTCACGAGTCCTTAGCGCTCTTACTTTCGTGTATATAGACCTCAGCTACCTTCGACCTCTATACTCGGTAGTTATTGATTCTAAGTCATTACTTTAAGATTTTCTTAAACTCTTATGTAAACTTTCGCGCTCTCGTGAGTTTTTTTAGATAATCGCTTAAGGTCGTTATATTATCAACAACTACTTCACTTCGCCGGGAACGGCTTCAATAATATTCCTCCTTAGAATTCCTTAGTAATTAGACGTCAAAAACACTCAGACGACTCTAACGGTCACGAAAAGGCCTATTTTAAGTACAACTTGAAAGATAGCACTTATATAATATAACAACTTTCGCTTCGCGAGCAAAATCTTTCGCACACTTTTTAAAGCTGTTCTAGCAGCTCCCTCTTTCTCTTCTACGGCCCAACTAGTAGTTCCTTTTATTTAAGAAGAAGCTACTAGTAAGCAAGACGATAAAGATGATCCTTCGGCTTTTACTAACCCCGAAAAAGCCTTAGCCCAACACTAAGCTCTCCTTTAGTTTTAACGAGAGGCCGCTAAGCTTAAGAAGCTTTTCGCAAACATAAAGACCCGTAACGAAAAGTTCGATAAAAACGCTAGCGAACAAAAAACCTTCGTTAAAAAAGCTGAAAAAGAAGCCCGTCGAGCTCGAAAAGAACTAGACTAGCTTTAAGCGGTCTTGCTAACTATAAAACGCTCGTCAAAGCCTCTTTAAGTCTTTTTCGAAGATAACTCTAAAAGCAAAAAGCTATACAAGCCTTCGGTCCTTTAGACTATTCCTTTTACTTATAGAACCGCTAACCTTCGCCGCCTTTTCGCCGACGACGATAAACTACTTTTTCCTTACAAGCT